GCTAGGTATACGAAGAACGTCGGATTCATGGCGATACCAGGTTTCAGTAACCATGATGACGTCAAAGGAGAACTCAAACGATTCAAGCAGTATTGCTATCTCATCTGCCTTGTTTCTGGCTGATTGCGCATTTATATGAAGGTAGGAAATGTGGTGTTTTCTACCAGATACCAATAGGCTCAACTGGTGTGGCGTTAAGCAGTCTGCAGCCATTTTCTTTTTGCCCTGTTTTTCTTCTAGCTTTTTTTTGCTAAAGGATGAAGCTCAACAAATTTAAACAATCTTTTCGAGATCGCTCTCAGTAGTTATCTGAAGCACCCTCGACTTCTCATCCTTTCGCGCAAAAATTTTGCCGCCTTTCGTCCAGGCAAATCGCCATTCTTTTTATTCTTTTTATTCTTTATGGTCTACAAATATTTTACTCACCGGCATTGTCAATGAAACAGGCAGTGGATTTTTTTTTTTTGAAGCAAGCTTTTTAAAGTTATCATGTTAAGATACCTAATGTCTGTTTTAGCTATACTTAAAAAGGCAAAGCCTTACTGTGGGCTTTTAACCTGCGGGTTATGGGTATGCACCAGATGTGTATGAAAAAGGGTTTCATGATTTACGCGACAGGTATTTCAAGTCATTGAAGCCATGACGCGTCAGTCATGATTGTCATACACTCATAGTCTTATATGCTGGTTTTGGTACATATTAGTAGACGAGGTGATCACGCAAGCACCGAGACGTAGGCAGCTAGCTAGGTGGATAGATCAAAATGGTCAAAATACCTTTATTTCGCTGAAAAATGCTTTGATACTCGGATGGTGCACACACACTTATGAAGACCGAATTGGGAGATCATTTAGAACATAGCAAAAGATTGTGCATGACAACATTTTTCTTATTTTAAGAGTGGAGCTGTTTAAGCAGAGCATTGGTTTGCAATGGGAGGACAAAGATAACTATCATCATGAACGGGCACGTGCTCTCTTTGGCCTCTTGTTCATCTTTGTTCTGCTGTGCTTCGCTGCAAGAATATGCGCCTATAGGTCCGGCATGGGATGCATTAAGACTGATGGACTAGAGAATAAATGCAAAGAGAACGAAATGTTGGCGAAAAAAAAGATTCTGATCGAGATGGCATTGGAATCTATGTACTGACAATCTGAAAACAAACACTCGGCTATACAGGCATGCTAGCAGAAATTCCGATATCTTTTTATAGTGTGCAAGGGGTTCGTAAAGATAAATGACAGTGAGGAACAAGAAAAAAAAGGTGGGGAGAGAGCAAGGTGTCGGATAGAAAGAATTAGGAAAAAATAGAATAAAAGAATGAGGGAGAAAGGTGCAAAAATAAGAATAGAATTTAATCTAAAATAGAGAAAAAAATAAATTGTAAGAAAGGAAGAAATAACAAAAAAAAAGAAAAAGAGGAAAAAAAAAAGACTAACACAAAAACAAAGAACGTTGTTCAGTATCACCTCTTTGAGGCTTGGAACTTCTATTGCAAATCTATTGTTATCATGTGAGAACAACACTGGGCACTCATTGCAGATTAAATCAGAAGCCTGACTCTTGTTCCGCCGACCTTTCTTGAGTAACCAAGCCTCTACAAAACACTCTGAAGCCAATACTTGTACCCTATTTAAAATGTCAGTTCTCTAGTGTAGGCTGACTGACAGGGCCCTGCGATCAACCATGACGATCATCTCTGCAGAATTAATGTGGACAATGCTTCTTTTGTCGCTGCTAAATTTTGCAAGGCATCTCGCAGCAACAAGGCCAACAGCCAAAGACTAACGGGCATCCCGCCCAACCACAACGAGCACGCCCACCTCGTCGCGAGGCAACTTACCCGCCGCAACGCAGCCACCCAGGGAGCAGCCGCCACCGTGGTTGGGAGGAGCACCGGCCGAGGCGCGGTGGTGGCCACAGGCACTGCAGCAATTACCACCCCCACCACGTTTCTTGCAGCGGCAACTGAAGTTGGTGCAGAACAGGCAAGGCAACAGAGGTGCACCGACTGCTATGGAGAAGAATTTCCTGCCACGTACCATGACGTGCTTGAGCACTATAGGAAAGACAGGAAGAAATTTCAGCAACCCCACGTGCGCCTGGACGAGTCGCAGGCGGTGGACCTGAGAAGGCTGCAGACGAGCACGTTCACCAACACCTACCGTCTGCACCGCCTATGGCCCACGCTGCAGCCTTCGCCTGGCTGCCCGTGGTGCGCGCACGAACGAGCCGATATGGCACATATACTTGGGCAATGCGAAAGAGGTGAAGATGGGCCACGAGAAAGGATGACGTCAACTGAGGGACCCACCAAAATGGGGCGCCTTGCTAAGCGATGGCAAGACGCCCTTCTCAGCAAGGCCCTCGAAGACCAGGTGTGGGCTGTCCAGCGGGCCAGGGCCATCGCCGAGGACCTCAGAAGATGTTCCTCGAACGATGTGTCCCTGGCAGCCCAGCAACAACCGTTGGGCAAATAAAGTTTATTCAACTCAACTCAAGCAAGCATGTTCAGAACTTTAGCATCTGTTTTGTACTTTACAAGGAAGAAAGTTGTGTCACTTTGCTAAATGGCACTTGCACTTATTCTTGCCTCTTGCGCTTGATAACGTGTTCAGGTAAATTACACAAATATCGTTTGTCTCAAGCTTTTGTTCCACAAGAGCCCCGTGCAGCCAGAATATAATAGCGGAGTAAATGTTTTTATTTCATAATTAGCATCTATATATTAGCCATTCTGATTGTCGGTATCGTCATCTCTCTCAAATTTCGACGACAAATCTCTGTCAGAAATGTCTCATATATAATATGTGGTAAAAAGGCCTTTCGAATCGCACTACCTGACGATTTTTACCCCCTCTTCTACTTAAAATTTCTGTACCACGCTAGCCTTAGCAGGACTAAACTTCGTAAATGTGGTCCACCAGATCAGGAAAATTCGATACCTCTGGTTTCCTTCTAACTGCGTGCTTCCTTATAAGGTTAGTTGTGAAACAGCGCAGTGGTGTGTATTTGTTCTTGCGTCCTCGTTTTTTCATTGTCGATTTCAACATGCAAACAATGCATCTGCGCAGATATTTCAAAATAGTTGCACAACAGCAGATAAAGCAACACTAGAAACACGAGGACAAGCACAGGCTCCCAACTGAAATTTTATAGAACATACAATATATAGAAATGAAGTTCACCAAGGTGGAAAGGTGGGCATGTTGATATTCCATGTTTAAGAAGGGTAAGAGTGCACTGAATACGAATACACAAAGAAAGGACACACACACACAAAAAAAAGTAGCGCTATGTGTGTGTGTGTCCTTTCTTTGTGTATTCGTATTCAGTGCGCTCTTACCCTTTTTAAACAATATATAGTCCACACCCAGAATATTAACCTGGAGAAAAATTAAGTGAAAGTGCACTGAAACAAACTGTAAAAAAAACTAAGGTAAAATAGCACATGACGATGAATACAGGTAAGCCAGTTTTTTATCAGATAAGAACATCGAAGGTTTAATGTCACCAGCTTCCTTTAGCTGTTAATGCAGCTTCAATGATAATCCTGGTGCTATCATAAAGGTGAGCTACAAGAGCTTGCGTTTTCTCGAACACAGGCTGGCAACTACATTCTCAATTAAAAATCAGAAGCCAAAGAACAATTTCTATCTACATTTTTTACTTTTTGACAATGTTCCTGCAAGTGTATATGCACCTGCCTCTCTGACTCACATAACTGTGTCCACAGAACCAAGGTATGCTGAAATCGATGCGTACTGCACAGTCAACAAAGTTTTGTGATTGAATGATATGTGGGAATTAACGTCCCAAAACCACCATATGATTATGAGAGACGTCGTCGTGGAGGGCTCTGAAAATTTCGACCACGTGGTGTTCTTTAACATGCACCCAAATCTGAGCACACGGGCCTACAGCGATTCCGCCTTCATCGGAAATGCAGATGCCGCAACCTGGATTCGATCCCGCGGCCTGCGGGTCAGCAGCCGAGTACCTTATCCACTAAACCACTGCCGCGAAGTGCATAGCTTGGATATGGTTAAAATTTCTTTCAACAACACTAGTTCAAACACATAACTGAGATTGCATATTCAGTGCATTGGTCAAACAGAAAAGTTTAACATATGGTTACAGGAAAATTCGCAAAAATATAAAAAACATGGATGGAGATGTTTCTTTGCGTTCTCATAATGGGAAATACGATTGCCAGTGCCTGCTTGAGAGAAAACACGAGCTCTTATGACTCATCGTCATGATTGCCCCCAGAACCTTCAATAATTTTGACTACAAAGAACTGGCTTACTTGGATTCATTGGCATGTTCTATGTCGCCTCTTTTTTTGTGTGTGTCTGTGATTTATGCTTCACTTAGTTTTTTTTTTTTTTTCAGCATAAGCAAGTAGTTTTAATGTGCAGAAACCGTGGGGTGCTAGCCGCACGTTCTAAGTCGAATGCTTTTTCATCGCTTGTGCAGCCATGAAAGCGAATAGCAAGGCTTGCGGAGTGGTTCTTAAGAGAAAGGAAGAGAAAAGTGAGCCCCGTTATTGTCTGCTTCAGTGAGCGACACCGCCACAGAGCTCACAAAGGGATGGGGGTAAGGAGGGATAAAAGGGTAGAGGTAAAGGTATAGGAAAGAGGAAGAAGAAACAACAACAAACTGAGGGGATAGGAGAGACAGGAAAGATGGAAGAACGGTCACTGGAGTCCGAGGACGGGGTACACTTGCGAGAGATGTTGTCGGCGTCTGTAGATGGCGTAGAGCAGGTCCAGTAGGTCAGAGCTGCGCTGTCACCGAAGACAGCCGGCGACAGGAGGTGACGTAGGGCCAGCCCAGTCGGCCAGAGCTACGATGACGCCGAAGGTCGCGAGCGCGCGGAGCGCGCGGGCGCACAACCGGTCGGCACGAAATCCAGGGAGCGTCTCCGAATAGCAAGGCTTGACTGAGCATGTGGGTGTCACATGGGCACTTTCTCTCGAAAGTGAATTTCTGGACCGTGATTGGCTAATCTCCGAATCTATTGCAACCAGGCAACATGGACTGCATAGCCACCGAAACTACATCGTGCGATGCTTGTACATTGAAGTCAGGGATGGTCGGCAGCTTTTCAGAATGATGTACTGGCTAAAATACCGCTCATTTAACAGCTCAGCTATAACGAGTTCGATGATACTACGCCTGTAAAATGAAGTATTAGACGAACAAGCGCAAGAAGCAGGGCAGGTTGCCGAACGGCCGCGCAAACCGCAAAACAACAAGCACGCCAGCAAAGCTGGCAACACGTACGGACTACTACAAGGTCACCACCGCACACACAACAGAAATAAATATTACGAATGTCAAAGAGCACTGAAACAGGTTGACGAGTCCTAGACGTCGTGGCCTTCACACGCAAGCTCAGGCGAACCAGGAAGGTCGGCGAGCCACAAAATTCAGCGGTTCCACACGCGAACACGATCTAACTATTCACGTTCACAAAGCACACTGCATCGTTATTTTGACAATTTTGACCGGGTGAGAATAGCATTGCGGTTATTCTCACCAGGTCGCAGCAGCGGCGGCCGGCACGGTATCATTATTTTTGTCTTCCGAGCCAGGGGTAGTCGCGCTTGTTGCGTTCTCGCCCATCGGAGCCGGTGGTGATCGTCGAGGGCTGATGGCTGCCCTCCGGCTTTTCTCTGAGTTGCACGGCAGGACGATACCGCCACGATGTAGTTTCGTGCGCTGCTGTCATGTGCTCCGCGCCGCATCGTCCACGGCAAACGGTCGGCGGCTCAAGTCCAGCGCATCGCCGGCCGCACTCGATCGGGCCGCCTCTGAAAGCAGCAGCGCCGAGTTGCCGCCGCAGCGGGACCCGCTCGACCTGAGCTTCAACGACGCTAGGGCGGCCTACAAGAGCAAGACAACCGGTGAACTGATCAGGGCGTTCGTGGTGCTCAAGCTCAGCTCCAGTAACTGGATCGTCAACAACCACCAAGAGGTCAGTCCATTCATTCAGCCGAGGTCCTTCCACTGAGTGCACTGTTGCCGCAGGTAAACGCGTTTGCAAAACTACGAAGACGGCACAACGATGTTTGCATTCGAGCCGGCTGTAATGCGAAATAAGAGAAAAAAAAAAAAATCCGAGCGTTTTGTAGCTCAAGCTAATCATGGAACCATCGCCTTACCCGCAGTTTACTATCTGGGCAAGGTTCCTTGCCTACTATCTGTGCAGTTTTATTTGCCGTGCTGAACTTGCTTTTCTTGTATTGTGTGTGCAGAATCAAAACTGAAACAAACTGCTTGCTCTCCCAGCTAAGGATGATGATGTTCAGGGAGCGTGTATTTCTTCTTTGATTATTTCCCGATTCAGTCTCAACATTTTTACGCATAACGTTTCCTCACATGGATAATTAGACTTCTACAAATCAATTTACGGCTGTCATCGCTCAGCGAGGAAAATAAGCATATCTGCATGTGCATAATTTTCAGAACATGAATCAATGCTTGGCCCTGCACCAATGAAAAAGCATGGATAATTTCAGGGGCGGTGGCCATAATGGTATGCTTGGAATGCATTTGGAAATACCCCCCTTGGAGTAATGCTATTGGCTAAAAATTGTGTGGGCAATGGTGCATATTTGAAAGAACTTTGAGTGGCGTAACCATGTTTAGACCTCCATTGACAACTTGAGGTTCGCTTGTATTGCCAGCAGCAGAAAACTGGAAGAATTCCTTTTTACATAGTGTGTAGATGAAACAGGTAGCTTGATGTGCCTAACTGATCTCCTAATGCATGTGTATGGTGAAACCTTGAGCGAGGCTGTATGTGACACAGATATGCTTTTTCTAGACTGCTGCTTTTCTTCCATTCCCCTTCAGTCTAGACCTACTGCTCGTATGATGCTCGCATGAACAAATGTCAAAGTTTCAGTAGCAGCACTGACATACATTTTGTGTATGTCCAGTGCCTCTGTAGAGATATGCACATTGTGATATGTGGCTTGTGTTTGATGGTGAAGCTTTATAAATATGAAAAGGTAGACATCACTATAGCGAGATGCGACTTTGAAAGTGTGCGCCTCCTCGAAGGCACATGAACACAATGGCTGCTCCAATGGGCTTGAATTCCAACACATGATCTGCAACTCGCCTTTGGAGAACATGGTCAAGTACATGAGCAAAACTATTTCTTTAGTCGTGCAGCTGATGGGTTGCTGTGCTTTGGTCATCTGGGCCGGGCCTTTTCATACTTCTCGTCATAACCGACTGTAGTGAGAAATGTTACTCCTCTACTGAAAACTGTAAGGGCCTTCACAAGTTGCGTAGGGACTGAGAAGACTCACACACAGTGCTAATTTGGAATATGTATGAGTCCCCTTCTGAATGCCTGTTGTTCTAACCACTCTCTATCAATTTGTCACTAGTCTTCTGACAGATTAAAGTGAAGCTGCTTTACTGTGTCCATCCTATCAAAACACAGAGGAGTTGTCGAAGTGAAACACATGTCACATTAAAGTGAGTTTCTTTTCATGTATTATCGCATATTGGAATTATTTTCTGGCAATACTTTCATTCTAAAAAGTTTGCTACGGGAGTCGAATAATGCTTTTGTTTATATTGATTTCTCTACCTTTACATCATTAAGAAAATTTCTGTTACTTCCCTAATCACATTGTAACAAGCCCTGGGATCTTCTGAACATTTATTTTTAACATGGCAATTTTAAACACAGTTAAAAGGCCCAACTTCTTCTCTCCAGTCATCCTGTAGCCATATGTCACACATACAGGTTTACAAGCCATTCCTGCATTTCTTGAGAACAATTCACCAGGATGGTGAGAATCATAAAGAGAAAGGTGGCTTTCTGTCTGTGAAAAGTGTAGATGGCATTTTTTTTAGACAAATCACCATCATGGTGAGAATCATAAAGAAAAAGGTGGCTTTCTGTCTGTGAAAAGTGGAGATGGCATTCATTTGTGATTGAATATTACGTGGTGCCACTTGTTAATGACTTTTACTGGTCTTTGCATCATGAGTGAAAGTTGATGTAATGAACGCAGGAATCTACATTTGCATACATGTATAAAAACTTCCTTATATTCACTATAACACGATCAGAAAATAGTTCAAGTAGTCACTCTGTGGACTATAGTTGGCAGAGTGCATATAACTTGCATCGTGACAGAACTGACCAAGTTGCGAAATCAACACATGATTATAGCAAACGACAAATGTGTGCTAAGGAATTATCGAGTCAGTTATGCAATTATCTATTTCAATTAGAAATAAGAATATATACAATAGCAACACAGCAGCTTCACAAACTCTTTGTTGTTTTGCATACTTTTGGAACGTGTTCTTTCTTGAAAATTTAGAATATGGCCTCCTTGGCTTAGTATGTATGTTTGTGTCACACAAATTTAGCAGACATGCGAGAATTGCAAAAGCACTTAGCCCCATATACATCTCACTTTGAGGCATTAGGGTGAAACGGAATTATGAAAGATAAACTGAAAACATTCAGCACTTGGCGTGACCTTTTAGAGAAGCTGTGGCATCACATTTACATCGTATGGAATCATGAAACAGCTAGGTGAACATGAAGTAGAGGTGAAGTAATAGAGGGTAAAACAAGAATGAACACAGGTTTATTGAGTTGGCCAGTTATATATGCGACTCCAGTGTAATGTCATGTCACTGACCTTCAGGCATGCGCACTTGGAGTCAGCTGACATCACAACACTTCCTCTTTCTTAATGGGACATTTAGAAACGGTCTGGTTCTTTGCAATGCCGGTTTGATCTGCAAAGTAGATTGTCCGGGGTTTCAATATTTTTCAGTAAATGTGTCATGCTTTTCCGGGACTACAGTGATAGCAGGTCCTGTCTCATGCTCTTTGACGTTAGTCAGTGCCGACACTTCTCCTTCCCTGTCCGATGGCGTCGGTGGCTGCCCCTCAAAGCGGTATCTTAGCTGATCTTTATGACACTCACACACCTCCCCGTCCCCCGTTCTGACCATGCTTAGGCGGGCGCCCCTGGTAGTCTCTATCACTGCAGGTCTCCAGCTAACGCCTGCTCCATAGTTCTTACACCATACGGGTTCTCTAACTGAATTTTTGCGGGGAAGTGAGCCTGCGGTAGAAAAAGGTCGTGACACAATATTCTCAAATAATGAACGTCCATTAGCCGTAACCTTGACTATTTAATCAAGTGAACGTGGTTCAAAACCAAGAAGCATGGCGTCTTTCCATTTCAAAGTGGGGTGCTTCGATAAAGCAGTAACCAGCAGGCCAGGCTCCTTTCTAGAGTCCCGTGCATGTTTTTTCGTTACCCTTCTTTTACCGTTTCCACCGCCCTCTCTGCCAGCTCGTTGGATTGCGGGTGATATAAAGGGGACTGTAGGTGTACGATGCCATTGTCTTTTATGAATTTGTGGAACTGTCTGCTTGCGAACTGGGGCCCGTTGTCAGAAACAACTGTTCGTGGCAGTCCAAACCTGTTGAAAATATTCCAAAGGCTTCGATAGTGTTATTAGCATTGATTATTTTCATTGGAACAACCTCAATCCAGTTTGTATGAGAATACACTACAATCAACAACATTCGCTCTTCCCCTGGACCAGCGAAGTCAACGTGGATTCTCGACCATCGCTGAAAAGTGTCCAGCCGCGAAACCGACTGCTCTGCGCGTAGCATGCTACTGTTTTGCTGGCACAGTGCACATGCGTGAACAATGCTAGTGATATCTTTGGCAAGTCCCGGGAACCAGAAAAGTGCCCGAGCCAGATTTTTCATCGCTGTCATGCCTTGATGCGTATCGTGCAGCAGCTGTAACATCGATTTCCGAGCTGCGGTGTGTATTACGACCCGATGGCCCCAATAAATAAAGTCATAGCTGCGCGTCAGCTCATTTTTCTTCTGGAACAAAGGCTGCAACACTGTTTGTGTTGACGGCAATTTCTTTGGCCAGCCTTTGCGAATGTAGCGCATAACCGGCTTGAAAATAACGTCAAGTGCTGTTGATTCGGCCAGTTCACGCAATGTCATCAGTCATGTGTTTGGATGGTTTGCAAGGAGTACATACTTTTGTTCGTCTTTCAACATTAACTTCACTGTCTTGTCATCATGTGCCATTTGCGCGGGTTTATACTGAATGGAGTACTTGTAACAACAGAGTAAAAGATCCTAACGCTGTATTCGTGCTGCTGCTAAAGATTGTATTGTCTTATCGGGACTAAAAAGGCGCATCACCGGCTTGTGATTCGTTACCAATGTGAATTTGTTTCACAGCAAATATTCATAGAACTTCGTCACAACAAACACCACTGCTAAAGCTTCACGCTCAATCTGGGCATAATTTTGCTAGGCTGAAGGGAGGTTGCGCGATTGAAATTCGATGGGTTGGTTTGCGCCATTCACTCTGTGATACAAGAGCCCCCCCCATGCCGAATGAGAATGCATCCTTCTCCAAGATTATGGTTTTGCTTGGGTCATAGTGCTTCAAAACCTGCATCTCTTTTATCAGGCGCTTCACTGCCTCGAAGGTATCCTCTTGCTTGGCTTCCCATTGCCACAGCGTGTTCTTTCTTAGCAACTTATACAGCGGTGAAAGTGCAGTAGCCAAGTTGCCCGAAAATGTATTGTAATACGTAACCAGGCCTAGTAGTGCGCGCAGTTTGGTGACACATGTAGGTCGAGGCATTTGTAACAGCGATTCAATGTTTTCAGTCTTTGGCCTCAGACCGTCGACATAATTCGGTGCCCAAGGAATTTCACCTCCGGAAGACGAAATCTGCATTTGAGCTGGTGAAGCTTAACACCGGCGTTCCCTGAACCGCTGGAACGCCTTTCGCAGTGTGTCACAATTTTCACTTTTTTCTGCGACCACTACATCATCCAAGTATACTTTTACAGCTGGCAGACCTTGCAGTATCGTTTCCATTCGCTTCTGAAAAACTGCTAGTGCTGTCGCAATCCCAAATGTTAGGCAGTTAAAG